CCTTATAAGTGTGATCTAAAAAGGATGGACAGAAATATACATATATAGTGGTCTGAGGTCTGAGGTCTGAGGTCTGAAATCTGAGATCTGAGGTCTGAGATCTGAGGTGTAACTTTTGTACCTGGGGTACACCGTAGATATCGTAAAAAGTATGGCAGAAGATATAGCAAATAATAACAGAATTGTAGAAGAAGATGAAGGTGTGAATAAGAAAAGAAAACTTGGAAATAATGAGGATGTAAACATGAAAAATACATAATGATAGGATTAGCATTATTATTCACGTATCACATGATATTAAATAAATAAATTTATATAAATAACGTCTGTTCTTTATTATTAAAAAATAAATGTCTAATCACTGTAACAAACAAAAAAAATCTTGTAATAATACTTATCTAGAAAACAATATTCTCACTTTACTGTTTCCTTATCTCGAATATATTAACAATAACAACGATAAAACAAATTTAAAAATAAGATATTCGTACAAAATGAAACACAACAAACAGTCTAATAAAATATTTGAAAAGAACGTGAATCTAATTAAATCGGAAAAAGATCTTGAAAAACTGGTAAAAGGAAATGAATGGGATCAAACGATTTCTAAATTACAAGTTTCGGAATATTATAAACAAAAACTCCAAACAATTAGACGAAACTGTTATACAAAATTAAAGAAAAAATATGATAACGATAAAGCAAAAGTAATTAAACAAGAAGTAATTGAAGAGACTAAACAATATTCTAAAATAGAGTATACCATCAATGATATTGAAACAGAATATCTTATTAAACAAGAAAATGAGAAAATACAGTCTCGTGTTGATGAAACAGAACAAGATATACGTCGAAACAAAGCTGAAGATCAAATTGAGCGTCATGATATTAGTATGGGAGAAATCGCTAAACAGTCGGATATGAAAGAAATTGAATTTGCATCGATTGATAATGAACAAGATGTTAAATATCGTTTAGAACAAATTGGTGATAAGCAAAAAACTGTCGATAATGATTCAGAAATGAAAGAAATTGAACAAGAAACTGTATTATCAATGGTCGACGACGATTCAGAAATGAAAGAAATTGAACAAGAAACTGTATTATCAATGGTCGACGACGATTCAGAAATGAAAGAAGAAATTGAATTACCAATGGGCGACACCGAGTCAAAGATAAAAGAAATTGAATATTATGAATCTGAACGAATACAAACAGCTGATATGGAAGGAATTGAATTTCCATCTATCGATAATACTTCTGATATGGAAGAAGTATTAATACATTTTCAACTTAATGAGGATGATATACGTTATACAAATTTCATGAAAGCTCAAGAATTATACACCGAAATGTTCAATGATCCACAAATAGAACGATTACGAGACGAACAATATTGGTCTATCGAGATTGATAATCTTAATTATGATCATCTTCCTATACATTTCAAAAAAAGAATGCATGAACTCCGCCAGTGGACATATTCTAAAAAAGAAAAAACATGAATGAAAAAAAAATTGAACATTCGCAAACTCATTCAGGTGATGGAGATTCACAGACTAGTAATGAAATAAAAAATAAAGAAACACTCAAAATTGAATACCAAACAGAAGAATTTCAGAAAGAGATTGATGTAGTTATATTTCCAGATATTGACAATGTTGACGAAATGGATACTATATTATCAAGTTTGAAATTAAAGACGAAGAAAGACATAAAGATTCAATTCAAGAATATATAATATATTATAATATGTTTAAACATATTCTCGAAGCCGATTATGAATCATTAAAAGATGAGAATCAATGGTCGGATTTGATAAATAAATTATCTTATCAACATTTTCCAGATAATTATAAAACAAAGTTAATTGAATTTTACAAAAACAATCTTGAACGAAAAAAACAACAACAGATCGACAAAGAAATATCTGATAATACACAAAGTTTATTAAATTCAATAACTGATTACAGTTTAGAACTATTTGGATATGGTTCAACCGATAAAAAAAGGAAACGTTTAGAGGAAGATTCTACAGAAGATGAAAATTTAAAGGTAAAACAAAGAAAATTGAATAACCGAGATCCTAGAAGAGCATCGAAAAAGAGACCTATAGTAATAAAACAAGGTTTCAATAACATAGTCAATAATCTTACTATTGATATAGATAATATAATCAATGAATATAAAAAAACAATGAATAGTTCGAATAAAAATTATTCTAACCAATTCCAAGAAATTAAAAAATTAATTCAAGAGAAATATGAAACGGTTTTATACAAAAAAACATTTTTGAATTTATTATATGATTATTGGGTTTTAGCTAAATTAGAATCAGAGTTAAATATCAAATATAAAAGCGAAATTTTAGTTAATGATATGGGAAAACTAGTCGAAAAATTTGGGGAGTTGATTTAATAAAAAAACTATAAATACATCATCGAATTCCTTTGTCGTTTTATGAAAATGTCTTCCAATACATCACAACCTGTTGTTCCAAAAGTGGATTTCCTTAGTATATTCGACAATAAAGGTACTATACCGCGAACTAACCTTGACATGTATTTATTATCTAATGAAAATGAAAGACTATTACAAGAAAACCAACGATTACTCGAAGAGAAAAATAGAAATGATAAAATAATATCTACATTAACCGATCATCAGCAAACAAATGATCATTATCGGAAAGTCATCGAATCACTCGAGCAACAGATTCGAGAAAAAGAAAACAGTATATTACAAATGAATAAAGAACGTATTAGTATAGAAAATTCACTTAATAATTTATTGACAATATTAAAAAGTACAGGTATAAACGTTTTAATTAGTGATAAGGAATAAATATATACAATTCTTTTTGTGATTATATTAATTATCTACTTCAAACCAATATCGAATATTTATTTTGTGTTTTATTATCATGTGATGTATTATCTTAACCAGTTGAGCCAATCAAACTGTATAATTAAAGTTTTATAATCGTAGAAAAAAAATCGCATTGTTATACATTGTTTTCGATGCATTATGTTTATTGGTCCATAGCTCATACACATCACATGATTTCTTAAATTGACGTCGGATACTACAACTTTACTTCGATGAACACTATTAACAGTGACAAATAATTCAGATGAAACACTCTAATTAAACATTATTTGAATTAAATATACTCAGTTCTTTTTGTAGTATTTATTAATTGATATCAATTCGAATAAACATTTTGTATGCGATCTAAGCGAGATAATACTACTATTTATAGTACGCAGTCATATTAACCAATAAACATAACATTCTTAATAACAACTTTGTTGAATAAGATTATTAAGTCCTAGTTAGGAATTAATAATAACGTCTCGAAGTAACCATTAATAATTAGGTATCAATTTTTTGAAAATTTCATCGAAAAATTTGAAAAACGAAAAATCAAAGTTTTCTTGTATTGTGTTGTATTGTTTTCATCATAAGAGCGTTATACAAGAATCACACAAGAGTTGTACAATATTTACGATTAATAAATATAATCGTTATATCGTTTCAAATAACAGTATTAATAATTCAATTCCCATAGGAGTCAATTTATCGATTTCCCATGGGAACGTACAAATATTATTCAATATCAATATCAACCCCAATAATATTAATAGTAATCTTTATGATTAATAATAATAGTATTTCTGTCAAGAAATACTACACCTGATCTTAGTTAATTAGGTTGAGAGGATTGTGTAGCAAAGCAAAGCGGCGCGAGCACATCGCATACATCGACGATGTATTGCAGCGTAGCTAGTATGTAATTCATGAATATCTCTACCCGGCAACATAATAAACACTGTAACGTTATGAACAACGATAATGCTAAACCTTTCACCCTTCCCATTTAATCGTTCTTCCACTTTCATCTCTAGTCATTTAATAAAGCAAACGAAAAAAACAAACAAAAAAATATATATCGTTTTACTAAAAAACAAAAAAAGAATTACAAAACAGCGTTTGTTTTACTAAATTACGAAAAAACAACAAATTTCGTTTTACTAAAAAACCAAAAAAAAAGACCAAACAGCATTTGTTTTACTAAAATACAAAAAACAAATTTTGTTTGCCAACAAGTAAAAAATAAACCTAATTTCGTCGAAACAAAAAAATGACTAAACGACATTTCGTTTTATAACAAAACAAAAAGAAATAACTAATGTATACAACCTTCATTATGTCGACAACGAATAATCCCCGCATCGACTAGAAAATACTGACTAATGAATGGGAGTTCACAAATAGAGACGTCGAAGAAATGTATACACCCTTCTTCAAAATTCCATTGAAGGCATAGTGGATCAGCAATACATCCTTTGCAACATTCTGCGGGGCTATGAAAAGAAGGACGACGATTCTCATTTAAAAATGGACTCGGATAATTCACATTAAGCCATCCTGGAGTACCAGGAAGCTCACAACATGCGGAAGGAGGTGGAGGTGGTGGTGATGGAGTAACACATGTGGTGGTTGTGAGCGTACAAGTATTAGTTACTACGCAATGCTTGCCATTGCCATTACCGTTATCAGCACCACAATTTTTATGTCCGCAACCGGGGCAAGTGAGAACGGGAGTGGGAACATTTGTACAAGTTGAAGAGGTGAGCGTGGTAGGGGTTATCGTTGTCGTTGTTGTCGTAGTTGAACATTTTCCAGCATCAGAAACATTACTAGATGCCAGCAATACTAATAGGCAGAAAAAAATCGAAAAAAGTTTAAGAAATTGCCCCTTCATTACGAGTCAGGTTGTAACCGGATTAAAAAAAATACATTGTATTTTGTCGAAACGACAAACGATAGCATATTTATGAGATTTTCCTCGCATTTTTAATATATACAGTAAATATTTTCGGCAGGGGCGAAGTTACACTGCGTGCATATTTACAGGGTACAGTAAAACTTCCACAAACGCCTTGGCATTGAGTGCTATGTTATATAGTTACATGTCTAATCAAGAAATCAGTGTAACTACTGATGTATGACAGAAATTATTCAATAAGGTAAGTAAGTGACATAATTTCAATTTCCTTTTTCGAATATTTCCATTTATAAAGGGTCGATGAATCCAAATTACAAAATCGCAAATATCTATACAACGACAAGAGGTACGCTTCTAAAACTTAAATATTCTACAACAACAACTATCATCTATCCTCCCATCAAATTTCATCACCACTCGTAAAGTACAATCTCTTACAATTTAAAGATTTGTAAATCAACGATGCGTCGATCATAACGATCAATCTTGTAATTGAAATTACTCAAGAACTACAAACGATACACTTTCAAAACTTTCACCAACCATTGTCACAATCATAATATATCCTCACATTAAATTTCATAGTTGGTTATTACATACAATCTCTTGTAATTCAAAGATCAATAATCAACTTTAACTACGTAAAGAGTATCAGGAATATTCGTCTAGACATGTGGTTATCGTGACGACTCGTATACGTAACGGCCAATACAATTACGACTAGTATAATCGTTAATCACCAAGCCCATCATGAAGCGATGCTGAGAAGAATCCTCAGGAATAGCCCGTCGCGTTCACACCACTCCATAAAATGCCCTCCAGGAATTAAACGTGTTGCAAGCAAATTATATGTCTCAGTAATATAGATATCTTGAAATTTCTTAGAAAGACTAAGATATATATCTTTAGTGTTAGACAAGTCTGATCTAGTGATTCTTTTACCCACATCTTCTGCAGTGCTGTTTATCAGATCCCATGCCAGATCAAGTCTAAATCCTTTGCTTGCAACCTTCTGGTCAGTGACCTTACAATAAAATTTAAAGCAATTAGCAAGTGTAGTATCTAATAACCAGAAAACCATGTTCTGCAGACTGTTAACTGGCAATTGTAATACCATCTCAGTTGGTCTGCAATGTCCACACACCCATATAATACTATTGATGAGATGTGAGAACTCACCATTTAAGATCCTTGGCATGATTGTCTCATCTGAGATGACTTTGTCATAATATTTACCCAGGTTGTCCAGGCAGACTTTGAGAGCTCGAAACATGCAGGCAGCTTCCACAGCTGTGTTGTAATCATAGCCCACTCTGTCAAGTGGGATAACAGCAGTCAGCTTGTCAACACAAGAGCACTCAGAAAAAATGCCTCCACAAACAGATATTTTCATTCCTGGATAACAATGACAAGTCAAGACTCTAAGATTAGTGTGAATGAGAGAAGGCAAATGAAGAAAAAGAGTGGAAAAGAAAAGGAAAGTAACCTTCTAAAATCACAAGGAACAAAGGAAAACATGTGCATGAACACATATCCTTATGACCTTTCAACAGGTCTCCAAGATATTTGGCATAGTAATAGTAACATGCATTCTGAAAGTATGCACAACTTTCCATACCAAATCAGTTTTCCCTTCAAGTTACACAGCATAGAGCTCCCTTTTGAAAAAGTGCTCTTCAGGATGGTACCATCTGTTCCCATGTTGTATAGACTAAGTGTATGCCAAGAAAATTTCTTATCAGTTCCATTCATTGATGCTCATTGTCCAGGAACTCTGAAAGAGGAGAAACCAATTGCTCAACCAGCTCTTTATATCTCACAAGTTCTTTATCCTGCACATTTAATAAAGTGAGAAACTCCTTGAAGATCCTGTGGTAGAACTGGATTAGAATGTTGGAGTGCCCTTGTGGCCAGTGATGGTAGATAGGGACATCAATATTTGTACATGATTTTTGATTCCTCTCTGAATATGGCTTCAAATAGTCACTAGTTGAAGGAAGGTTGTTCAGTTCAAGGATTATTGCACTTGCATGATGTTGCTGAAATTAAGACAGACAAATGATTTCGATTGGTCCGAGTTCAGCCCAGACTTTTTATTAAATAAGTTTTTTAAAGTTCTTCCATAGATTTTCAATGTTCTCCAGGTGTTTCCACTTCTCACTGAGTAGTTAGCAGATTTAAATTTTACTTTAAATTTCCCTGGCTCAATTGCTTGAATTATTGTTCAAGATTTTGGTTTATATTGCTGAGCTGATACTGATTGTAAATCTTATAATAATAATGCAGTGAGAGACTGAGAACAAATCCAATTAATAGCCTGCAAAAGAATTCAACAGGAGTGAACATTTTTGTAGATAAGTTTTTTATAGAGCAAATGCATTTGATAATGATTATTGATGTTTGTAATTTGATTGCAATGCAAATTTGGTTTTAGGTGAATTGTGGGTGAACTGGTAATCAATCTTTGAGTCCGATTGAGCATTCATTAAACAATGCATCATGATCATAGACTTGAAACAGTTGCCAATTAAACAGCTTTTTATGCAAATGAACAAAATGCATCCTTGTCTCCTCTGTGATGCTACGTTATAAACAGTGACATATTCTCTCCCAAATTTCTGCATTTCTCCGACGGCGCAGTAACACCAGCGCATGGTACAAGCAGTGCAGAATTCACTGCAGCAGTGGTACAAACACAATTTAATCGTATACCAGAAAAGTAGTACAGTCAAAGCTGGCTATAACGAACTTTGGTTATAACGAAGATCTGTTTATAACGAAGATTTTCTCCAAGCAAA